ACATCTTGCGCTCAGAATTGGCCAGCGCAGCGATGGCCACGTTGGCTAGTGGAGTGGCTCGGGATGGGCAGATCAGCCCTTGAACTTTCATTCCTAGTCAGCACATCCTCAGCGTGGTCCTGGAGCACATGTCTTGGTTTAGTTTCATCCCAAAAGGAGCCCAGGGTGGTGCTGCCACTTCTCTGTGTTGGGAACCAAAGCACAGTAAGTGGGAAATTCGCTTCAAAACTGGTCCAAATCAAAACACAAATGTAAATATGCCTATAAACGCTGCAAGAATGAGTAGCTATCAGAGTTCGGTTTAGTGATTTTATTTTTTTTTTCCCCGAGGGCTAGGGGTTTTTTCATTTTTCCTACAGTATTGCGAGCATCCTTGCAGCTTCATATGAAATTGCTTCTCTTTTTTAACAGCAACCCAGAGTTTTTGCAGCGGTAGAAAATGAAGCAGGATATTTCTTCTACAGCAGTAGGAGAACTCTCGTCTGGCCAGTATCCACGTGTGTATAATTTCCCATGCCTGTAGGGGGAGAATAAATTCTAAATGGGATGGGTGATGAAGGGATTTGGCAACCTTCCTCCAAAAAGAGTTGTCTGAATTTGGAATTAAGCTGGCGTATCAGAGATAGGCACCTGGTGCAGTATTTTATGTTATTGCCGGAATGTAGCTAAGTGTAGGCACAGCATCAGCGTTGCCAAGATGAAAGGAAATAGGTTTGTGGAGGAGATAATCCAGGAACTGCTGCATCATTCTCAGCACAAGGACTGAGCGTTGAATGGATGGAGGTAGCTAATCACCCCCAGTTAATTCCTCAGGTGTTTTCTGTTCAGGATTGAAACTGCTGGATGTTCTGTGGACAAATAAAGGATAATCCACTTGGCACCTTCTGGTAGCATGAACTTCACACAGAATGAATCCATTTGGCAATTTTGAGCAACTCTGCTGCCACGAAGCTCCTCTTCCTTTTTTCAGGAAGATGAGGCTACGGCACGTTGTCTAATGTGGAAGATCTTCCTTTGTATACACATTCCTGCCATTAGCTGGGAGGGATGCTTAGATGCCCTAAAATGTCTGATACAATGACATCAGCGTCTAAGGCATTTTCCGTTTCTTTAAAAGGCAAAAGCTAATATAGTGAACTTGTTTACTTTGCTTTCTGCAGTGAAGAAAAGCAATAAATGACTTATCCTCATGCTTTTCCAGGAGGAAACAGTGTAGATTGCAACTCAGCACAAATCCGTAACTGATGGAAAAAGTCTCATTTATTCCTGGAGAAATTATCTTTTTAAGGGTAGTGCTGAATCTGGGCTATCATTAAAACAGCTTTTTGAAGAAAAGGAAAAACAATGGATGTTTTTCTCATTTGATGTGTTACCTATCAGTAATGACCCTCTTTTCTCATCTCCATTGAAAAAATGGATATAAGCAATTAGCCGTCTATTGCACAAAAGTAGCATTACCTGAAAAAATAATTAAGATGATCTTGAAATTAAGGAAATCAGTTTTGAAGAGAAGCAGGTGCTTAATGGAGGTGAGACCAGCTGTGCTTCCCAGGAACGTGCTTGAAGCGCTTCATGGCAAAATGTGCGAGGCTTCCACACAACACTGGAAGGAAATTTATAATAATTTAGACAAATTGCATCCTATAAATAGCAGAGCTGGATTCATTAGGACAGGAGGCAGATGGAGAAAATATAAAACTTGTTTGTTTCTTTTTAAGGCACTATAACGCTTATGAAAAGTGTCAGTTTGCTGTCAATGAGGGGAAAAACCCTCCGGTGCAGCAGTAACTTTCTCACTATTGGGTTCTCATCTCTGCTAATGAGGAGCCACCCATGACAGGTATTCACAATACTTTGTTTTAGCAACTCCTGCCTACTTTTCTGTGGCGTAGCCAGGCTGACACAGAAGTGCTGCAGTGCTGGAAGCACGCAACAGTTGAGGGGAGGGGGACGTGAGGGAGGACAGAGTTTCACGTATGGTGTGTAGCACTTGCTAACTCTGTTAGAACAGATGCTAATGGGGCAGAGGCATAAATGTAGTTGGAAAGTGGGGATGTGTGGAGTGAAGTGGGAATCATCCACCAAACTGACTAAGGGTTATGCCCCAAAGCAGAAATGTACTGGTAATTGGTAGAGGAAATGCTGTGCATTATTGAAGAGAGAAGGTGAAGACATTTTTGAGATGCTTTTACATTAGTAAGTAGGAAAAAGGAAAGGCTTTCATGCATGAAGAGAACTAATGACAGAAAGCGGGTGGGAGGTGCGTGACTGGAATGCAGCTCTGTCCACAGGAGGTAAGCGAAGGCGAGAGGGTTGTTGGTCTTAGTATTCATACACAGTGAGGTGCTGCAAAGAAGGAAGAGTGTCCAGCCAAAAAGGAACGTACAGACTGACAGAGAGGGCATGTTGTAGACTGCACTTAAATAACGGGAGAGGGTGAATGTGTGTGGCTGTTTCCAAGTATGCCGAAGTTATGACTAGGTGCTTTAAAACAAAGCTGTCAGAGAAGACTAGCGTGCTATTCGACCATAGGCAAACCTGAGCTGAAATACAGAAGCGGTAAATGTTTTGTATGAATATTATCTGTTAATGAACTGGCTTTCGTATCTTTTGCTGATTTGATGTACATTTCAGCAAAGCTTCCTTAAAGTAACAATGTCAAAATTCCAGTAAGCTATCCTAAGAGATTTTTTTAAGTATTAGTGTTCAGGAAAGGAATACTGCATGCTTATCAGGCAGCGGTGTTTCTTCTTGTGGAGTTCTTAGATTGCTAATTCACCTTGTGAAGCGGCAGAGGAAAAAGTTGATACGAAGGTCATATTGGAGTCAGATAATCACAAACTTATTTGAGGAATGAAGAAAAGCTATACAAGTGTTCATGCTTCATGTGTTAAGTAACTATAGTTTTTCTCAGCATACAATATAGGGGGCAATGATCGCCACGCAAGGAGAGGACATTGGAGAAGAGGAAAGTAAGTGGTATGGATTGGCAGGATGCCTTTGGGGATTGCATCTGTTGTGGCTTGCACATATCTGTAGGGTGTCACGTAGCAAGCAAGTGGTGGCATTAAAACCAGTCACAGACATGGAGCAGGTTAACTCTGCAGTCATTTGAGAAGAATGCAAGCGTGCTGGGATGCCTGTGAGATCATGGATCCTCATGCATAGATCAGGTTTTTGGTATGGAGTAAAGAAACCCTTGGCAGATGAAGTGTGTTTTCTTGCTTTCAATAGGATAAATAAGCCCTGTATATCCAGGGGGTTAACACGGCCTGTGTTTATGGGTAGTGTTATACAAGTTATACGAGTACTGAGTTCTGAGATCTTGACTCACATAGTCCCATAGCAATAGCTAGTATGAAAAATATGGAGAAATAGTTAGATTTGAAATGTAAGGCTTTAATTTCAGAAAGCCTTTAGCAACAGAGGATTTTTAAAAAGGAAAAAATATCCTCGTGATAGGGTAGCATTGTTCAGTTTTCTTGCTTCTAGGTTTGATCTGAGATGCCTGAAATGCAATAATCTGTGATATGTACTGAAAAATATGTATGAGAGATATGGGTGATTCTGAAGAGAAAGTACTTGAAGAGAGGGAATGATTTGTGTTTGTAGGTTTCCTGTCTTGCTGGTGCAAAACTTGCTTTGAATTATGCTACGCTTATAGGACAGCATCTTGTTATGTGAAAAACATTCTTTTCATGTGTACAAATATAAAAAAAATACAATTCTTCTGCTCAAAACAACCTTCAAACTTCCTCTTTGCTCAAGCTCATTCACACCTTTATACTTTCTTTCACATCCTGTTTTTCCAAAAATCCTTTCCTAGGTAATGCCTGCTGAA